AGGGATTTTGAAGTATTTTTCTCCTGAATGGATTTTGCCTGTAGCATTCCTTTACTTATGAATGGAGCCATTTGGGGAGGCTGCCTTAGCCAGCAGCCATACTTACTACATTTATTTTTCTTCCTTAAGTGCCCACTGCGCTCCTTAACTTTCCTTTCTAGCCAGTAGCTAATTCTTAAAGGGGAATGCACCTTCTTAAACTAGTTCCCTCAATGGCTTGTCTTTTCTGTCTCTGGAGGCTTTTCCTTGTTTGATGAATATATGGAAGAGGGGAAATAGGGGGGGTTCAAATTCTTCCTTGAGAAGGAGATGGGAATGAGAAAGAGGGAGGCAGGGAAGGAGGGAGGGAGGGAAGGAAGGAAGTCCCGCCTTAGCACTTGGCCACCTGCCAATGACTTTGCTTGTCAAAAGGTTGCAAAAGGGGATCACATGACCCTGGGACACTGTGACCATCATAAATATAAATCCGTTGCCAAGCATCCAAATATAAATCACATGACACTGGGCCTGCTGCAATGGTCATAAGTGTGAAAAATGGTCATAAGTCATTTCAGTGGAATTGCAACTTTAAACAGGGGTTTTTTTTTGGTCTTCAAGTTTTTGACACCTTGCTAGGTGGCACTCGAATATTGCCATATCCTAGAAGTGGTACAATCGGTGAAAAGGTTGAAAAGCCCTGGCTTACAGCATTAAAACATTAAAATCCTAACAGATAAATATTTCTATAGCAATCAAAATGGAATTCCCAGTCAAGATAAAATTATAGTTAAAAGATGGGGAGGAACAGGACATGTGAGGGGGGAGGGGGGATTACCTCTGAGTTCAACAACTACCTCCAGTGTGAGGGTCCCCATTAGGACCCCCTGATTTTGAGCCAGATTTCGCCTAATCTGTACTTGAACCTTTGGTTTTTCCTGCCAAGGTTCCTCCCCACAACCTCTCCCTGCAGCTGTCCGGCCTCCCTCCCAGCCCCATTCCCCCCCCAGGGAAGGAGGTGGGGAGGGGTCCGACCCTCCTGCCTGGGATGGGGGGGCAGGGAGGGGTCTAGGACAACTTGCATAATATGGAAGAAATGGAGAAAGAGAATCAGGAAAGGAAGGAGCCCGAAGGAGGAAAGAAATAAAATGTGAAGAACAAAAGTAATAAAAAAACATTTTTAAAATTATTTTAAATAATTGAATAAAATTGTTGAATTGTCCTGCAGTGAGTTGCCCCATTCCAGACAGGGAGGGTGGAAAGGATCTTGGGGGGGGATCTTGGGGAAAGGGAAGGTGGGGGCAGTTGGTGGCTGAGGAGATCAGGCAGATCCCAGGATCACAGAAGAGCCTTAGAAGGGATCCCTCTTGATCTCATCCTCCAGCAAATGGCACAACTCTTGGATGGATTAATGGGGGGGAGGGCTGAGTGAGCCCCCCCAAGAGGGTCCTTCATCGATCCACTCCAGCTCAGAGAACTTTTGCTAACAACATTTCTCTCCGTTGAGGGATTCTCTGATGAACAGCTAATTATATAACGTTTAAGAACATGCAATTTTTAAAGGTTTGGTTATTTGTAATTTAATCCTGGGATCTGGTCCGGATTTTTTTATGAACAGTTAATTATCCTCCTAGGTTTGCAGGGAAGAATTTAGGAGTAAAAAGGAATTCCAGACTGAATATGCGGAGAACAAAATCTGTGTTGGTTCCCCTTAAATATTCCATAATTTCCAGAAGGAGCAGATGCCCAGCATCTCCCAGTAAAATGCCTTTTTCTCTTGGGATCTGGCGGTTTTTCTCTTGTGGAAGAAAGACCTTATTTAATTCTTTGGTAGCGTATTATTTTTGGAGAAAGCAAATGGCAAAAACAAATGGCAACAACTGCAGATGAAACTCTTGTTTTGCACTATGAAACCTTATCAGTTGATACAAATAAATAAGATTTTTTTAATATAAATAAATAAAACTAGAACAAGAAACGTAGGCAATTTGCCAGGAATCTGGAACAGGGAACTAAAGGATCCGAGGCTTCAGGGATGAATGAATGCCCAAAATTCAGTTTTAATGTTTGTGGGTGTTTTTTTGAATCTTTACCCCCAAATGAGGAACCTTCCCAGATATGAAGAGGGAAGCGATTCGGCTGCAGGTGAAGCTGAGTCTCTGACCAAAAAGGGGGTTTCAAGGGGGGCTTTTCTCCCAGACCCCCAAAATTGGATGAACAAATGACTCTGAATAAAGAATAAAAAGAACTAAAAGAACTAAAAAAAGGGATAGGGCATAGCAGACGAAAGAGCCTTCCCTGATTCCCTTTTCCAGACCTTTGGAAGTTCACTTTTTATCCTAAAATCCCAAAGGCCCCAGAGGTGAAGGGAGCCCCTCCCCCTCCTTGCCTTCCAGAAAGGGGTGAAAAGGGGGTTCTGGGGCTTTGCTTGGGGGGCACAGAGGAGGAGGCAGCCGTGGGGCCGGTCAGCCTCCTGAAGCCCCCCCCCCTTTTCATGAACTTTTATCAATGGATTTTAATCACTCCTGCCTTTTAAATCTTAAATTGTATAGACTATTTTGATGGTTTTATATTTTATGTGTATACTATGCAAAGTGCCTCTGTGGGAGAGAGAGACTGTTTTAAAAGTTGATAAGTAAATAAATAAATATTATTTAATAAAAATATATTGAAATATTATATAGCATATAGTATAGATTATTATTGAAATATATCTATGTACTGGGCAAGAGAGAGACTTTGCCGGATTCCTCCCCCCCCCCCCGAAAAAGTATAATATTTGGTATAATATTCAGGAAAGAAGTTTTTCTGGGCAGGGGAAACTTTGGACCTTGGGAAGAGAAGAAAGATGATGGGACTGATGGGAAGGAGAGGAATATAGTTCTTCCCTTTTGCATGTTTCATTGTCATCATTGAAGAATTTGAAACTTTTTAAAGGTAATTTAATTTTTAACCTTATTTTTTATACATTTTTTTTATTTAGGGATGATGTTATATCCTACGCCATCCAGATCCCCGCTTTGAGGGAGGCGAAGGGATTAGGAGTATCCATAAATAGCAAGAAATACCAATGCATAAATTTCGTAGATCGGAGAGCACAGAATACAAAAGGGGGAAATCTTTCTCCAGGAGAGTCCTAATAAATGAAATGAAAAAAGGGGGGTTCCCTGCATTTCCCCCCTCCCCATGGAACTCCCCCTCCCCCACTCACCTCTCCGGCCAATCACAGAATTTCTCTGGAGACCCTCGTAGTTGTATCGGCAGAAGCGATTCACTTGGCCCTTTTTGTACTGCATGAAGGCCTTATCACTGTTCCACTTGTCCACAGAGGGCTGCCCCAACGGAGTGACGGCCACGTATTTCCCGAGGTCGCTGTCGTAGTAGTCGATCTCCTGCCGGTCGTAGATGTCCCGGTCCAGGAGTCGCACCTGCTGCGTCCCGTTGAAGAAATGGCACTCGTGCTTCGTCTGGAGCAGGAAATGGGCTGCGGGGGGGGTGTGTGGAGCAGAAAGAAGAAAGCCCTCAGGAGGGACTCCAGGGCCCATGGTTCCCAGAGGCTACTAGAGGAGGGGCGGAGCGACGGGAAGGCGGAGGGGCGGGAGACCTGCTGCGAGGGACTGCCGGAAGGCGCCCCCTGGAGGAGGGATGGGGAACTGTCGGTTCCAGCAGGATTCCCCCTTGTTGGGGGTCTGGAGGGGGGGAGGAAAATGAGGGAGGGGGAAAAAGAGCTTTCTGAGGGACCCCCTCCATCTCCCCAGGGTGGAAAAAGGCAGGCAGAAGTTCAGCCGGTCCAGGCCTCTGTCTGTCTGCAGGGAACACTGGATCCCGGTGGGGCCTCTTTGCCCCCCCCATCCCAAACCGGCAGGAAATATAGGGGAAGGGAAGAGACCCCCCCCTCTGGGCTGGAGGGAAAATAATATCCAACCTCCTCTCTCCCTCTTCCTTTTGGGAGCAGAAGAGAAGGGGGTCACAATAAGGATACCCACACCCATGCTCCTGGGCTCTTCCCGCCCTTCAAGCCCCCCCTTCCCTTTTCCCCCCTCCCCCCATCTTCAGCCCCACAAGCTGCCTTTGGGTGCTTTTCGAGGCCTCTTTCCTGTCCCCCTCCCCAAAAGACCCCCCTGCAGCTCCGCAAGACCACCTGAAAGGGAGGGTCTCCAGCTCCCTTCACTAAAGGGGGAGTTTGGAGGAGCAACTCAGACCCCCCCCCAATATCCCTCCCAATAGAAGCGGAGAAGGTGAAGGAGGGGAAGGTTTTCAGTCTTGGGGGCTGCAACTTCAGGGGAGCGTTTCATGCCAGGACTGGAGGGGGTGTGTGGACTTCCTTTTTTTTTTTTTTTTTTTTTCAAATTTAACTTTTATTATTTTTATCATAAAAAGAAACACATCACAAGTACATCCCAATACAAAAACCCCCATTCCCCACCCCCCACCCCCCGGACTTCCCAAACCTTATCCCAGGATACTATTCAACTAAAAGTAAACTACTAATAATATCCCTAACTCCACTAAATAATAT